TTCCCTACCAGAAGTCCCTGGGGTTGCTTGCTCAGTTGGAGCCACGCTATAAATAACAAATGATAACACAATTACACTGGAAATGCCTGCGGAAGAGTTTATGCTCTGAACTGGTTGTTTCTCATTTTGCAGGCTATCACTACATCTGTTTGAGGAATGAGAGGAACCAACCTTTGACACTGCCAGCTCTCTTCGTGTACATAGAGGTCAAAGACTATGTACCTGATACGTATGCAGGTAATTCTGTGACATTTTCCGGCTGGCAAATATAGAGGTTAATTGAAACGCAAAATGAATGTGGTGCAGATGACTTGCCATGTTGGGATAACAGTCCTGTGAACAAACCTCTTCATCTGATGGATCATTACGTCTCATCACTCATATGAGATGGCCTGATTTACAGTGGCCTGTCTGAGGTTTAGTATTAGGGCCAACTCTTTTCTTTTCAGCAGACCTCGTATGACTCTAAAGCAGGAAGTACCCCAGGTATTTGCCATTGAAACATAAATGAAACTTTGCTTACACAACACAGTAGTATGTAATTGTTTCTTAAGCAAAGTGCCATACTTAATGCAGAGCATTGTTTTTTGGAATGGACTAAGCAAGCATAGGTTTAAAGACCATACTGTGCATCTTCAGTGAAAAACAGTATTCTGTGTAGCTATTTTGATTTTTTTTTTTTAAAACAGCATTTTTATTAATGCTCCTCTCTGCCTTGCGTGAAGCAGGATCCTAGTTGACTGATGCTCTAAGCTTTGAAAATCCATCATAAAACACTGTGCAGAAAATGCACATCCAGGAGACCCAAGCACAAACTCAAAGAGAGTTCGTGTGAGAGTATTTGTGCATGATGGTGTACTCCCCTCCACTGTTGTTTCTAGGACCTGGGAGTACCTATCAGCAGCAGATCTGTATGAAAAATACAGGCTCTTTCTTAACACCAGAGGAGCACTGGAACCATAACATAAGAGGTTTGAAACTGAACTATTTGCATTATTTCTAGATGTGATCGAGGCCTTATCCAATCCGATCAGATATGTAAACTTGATGGAGCAGAGAGCTAAGCAACTGGCTGCACTGACTCTGGAAGATGAAGAAGAGGTAAAGAAAGAGGTAAGGGAGGTTTCAGAATATCTGCAAATTATGTTATAGTATTTAAAAGCACCTACTTTGCTTAGAAGGACAAATATTGGAAGTCAATGAGAACTGTATGTGTTGATTACTTGAACACCTGTAAACATCTCACCTAGAATGAGACTAGGGTACCTTATAGCCGAGAAGCATTGCACTGTGCGTGTGGTTTCACCGAAGGCAGCATGTCGTGCATGCAGCAAGTTACTGTTCAGAGGTAAAGAGATTCCAAAAGCTGAATGAAAAACCATGTTATGTGTATGCTGATTTGCAACTTTGTTACATAGTAAATGAAATCTTCGTAAATTATTGCCTGTTGTTTTCTAGTTCCTCTTACAAAAAAAGATAACTCTGTATTAGTAGCTTTTCCTGAAAATATTACAGACTTTCCAGAATTTCAGGCTGTTTCTGGAGAGGTTATTCTGTTCAGAAACATTCGTGTATCTTGGATTATGATGTCTCTATACATTCTCTGTGAGCAATCGTACTCTGAAGAGACCCAGTATAATCATACAATAATTTAGATGGGAAGGGGCCTCTGGAGGTCAACTGATCCAACCCTTCATAGATCTTAGAGAGAGAGATGAAGAAGGAGGAGAGCCTAGAGAAAATAAATGTTCAGACCTATTCTAGCATAGCTGAAAACTACGGGAGCCACGTTTTCAGTTGTTAGGTATCTGTTTGGCTATATGTGGTTACCTACAGACTAACCTGTAAACCCTATTTTTCTGTATAATTGGAGGTGTTGTGCCTACAAATGCATAGATGTTATTTTGAGCATAATTGAGAGTACTGGCAGTTCAGCTTTGGTTTCTGATAAACTCTCTGCTCATTCAAATGTTCCGTCTCTCTGTTCCAGACATTGTCATTGGGGCGTCTTCTAGCAGCGTTTGAAAATATCAACCTTGTCTTTTAAAGATTGCTTGTGTCAGATGTTAGGCACATCATGTGAATCAAAAGGCACTCGGTACAGGTCTCTAGCGAAGACGGAGAAATGCTTTATAATCCTAAACTGCCCTCAGCTCTGGTACCTGTCGTCTTCAATTCTCAAATGTGCAAAGCCTCATTGAACTAGATTTTGTAACCAAGAATACATTCCCAAAGCAGACCAGATGAGTGAAAGTCATTACAATTCAGTGGCCAACAATTTACTCTTTGTGCAGTGTCACAAGTTCGACTGAATGAGGACACTGAAATGCTCAATAGTATCCTAGACATTTATCTGGGACGCTCTACACATGAGATTCTATTTTAATAGCAAAGTCTTTTTTTAACATAATCCTTTAAATACCTTAGAGGTCATTTTTACTTTTGAAAAAGTACAGATTTTCCTGGTCTGTACCGGCTTATTTGTTAGTTAAAAAATTCTGTCACAGAGTATCTTCTGAAGCAAATGGAAAGAAGGAAAGATGAATTGTAGCGCTCAGGTAGTGCTACCATATCTCAAGGAGCTTGAAAGCTCATAGGATAAAGGAGCTTGTTTTGGAATAGCAGACAAATATTTTTTAAAAGAAAACTGTAACGACTGTAGCGGTGCATTTGCTAAAAATGTGTAACCATTCAGTTAGATGCAGTAGCAAGGGACAGGTACATAATTGCCGCTTTAAGTGGCAATCTAAATACGCCATTGTTACCTTCTATTTATAAATGCCCATTCTGGGTAAGATATTTGGCAGCTGGGCTGTACTTGGAGATCTGGAATTGCCTGATCATGTTATGTGATGATAACGTTTTCTTCATCAGTCAGCAGGGCTGTTTTGTTCACTTACATTGGCCCACGAGAATCACATCAGTTAATGATTGCAAGTACGTTCACTGGCAACATAGCTAAATAAACCCAAGTATGTTTGCCAGAAATGTACACGTAAGTGCACCTGGATTCAATTTTCCTATGTACGGTTTCAAATTGAGACACTTTAAATGTTTGTGTGCAAAGCTGTGCTGTCTCCTAGCACAGATTCCACCTCCCCAC